CTTGTTTATTGTTGAATTTAAGTAACCAACATTTACATGAATTTCACAACATTACATATATATATATCCTAACTAAAAAAATTGGGATATTTTCAGTATTGCTATTGATGTTATGTTACAAAACTGGTTTGGCTAAAAACACTTGAGCAAGGCAGCAGTTGTCCTCATCAGTGGTAGGGCTCAGGCTCAGGCTCAGGGATTCTTTATCTGCACCTTATCCTTGTGCACTTCTAGCTCTGCCATTGGAGCTGTGGAAGCATTCACTTCACCGAAGCCATTCTCGAAGCTCGACAATCGAGAATCCGACAGAACACTGAAAAGCTGTGTGTCTACTAATAGCTGCAAAGTTCACCAACCCAATCATCACATCAGATCCTTGTAACTCAAGACGCACTTTCAATTATTTGGCTTCAAATATCAGTCAAAAACATCTTGTATATTCTAGATGGTTTCAATGTTTTCCCGCCTTGGTTTCTTGCAAAACATCGAGAACTAGACCATCAACATCTTGTCCTGTCCGATTCATTTAGAGTAGACAATACAATATGAAGCAGAGTTCCATGCACATCACATCGATAGTTCACAGTTATGTGGGACTCATCAATCAGCTAACTAAAGCATTAACATGAACAACAACCAAATCACAAAGCTATCAAGAAATGAGCACTTTTGTGCCACAGATGATATAGAAGTACTGATAGAAGCCGACAATGTTTGCCATATGTTTTTTTACGTGACTATATGATTTGAGTTGGATTTCTTTAAATGTTGCGGGCTATATTTAGGAAGTAAAGAAAAACTTAAGAGTTGTAATATGATAAAGTATGATGCACATGTGATTCGGCTAAAAGAACATAATATAAATGACAAAGGAATCAAGCTGAGAAGTGGAAATCACCTTAATAAACGGTCGGTCCTTAATAGAAAAGGAATCAATATAGCTATCTTTAAGAAGTAAAGAAACCTGAAATCATAAATAAAGAGCTGAGTTTCATAGTCATCAGCCATGTTAGACTGTGGTTGGTTATCTTATCGGAGATTCGAGACGAATAGTAAAACAGAATTTATAGATTCTCTGACCCTGTCGTTGTTTGACTGGACACTAGTTATGGTATGAGATCTAAGATTTGAACACAATGACTCCATGTATTGCCTCATGATATTCAAAAACTGAGCGGCGTATTCGGCCTGCAATCAAATCAAAGTTAATTCGAGAGTTGAATAGAAGAAGCAGAAAGCATGGGAGCAGAAGAAAAATACATTGCCAAGTCTGCTAGAATACAACAATCCATAATAACCTGAGATTCATTGCACCTATATACAGGATGCTTTTTGGCAATTGAGCGCTTGTTTGCCAGTCGAGCATGGATTGGGCCTAGTCTGGAGGCTAGCTCTTTGTATTGTGGAAGTGTTGGTAAGGGACATGTTCTAACCTGAACGAGCAGAAAATAGAAAAGCAACAATGCTACTATCTTGAAGAGTAGGGAAAGAAACCGAAATGAAAAGAAGATATTTGTTTGTAAAGCAACACCAGAAACCAATAAGGAGCGTTTGAGAATCTGTTTAGGAAACAGTTTTCTGCGTCTTTGTCTCTTTGAGATTCTTTTCAATAACTATGATCAAATAGTTCGTAAATGGTAACAGTTTTGGCCATCTCCGGCGTCTACTAGTTTTCCTTTGGTTTTGATGCTAACAATTGGAGCTTCTTTTTATAATCATGGGTCCATCTCAGTTGGGCTAATGTTTTTGTTAAATAAAAGCAGAACAATAGTGGACTTTAAAACCTGGTTGATACATAAACAGTGGAAAAACGAAAGGATCGGCAAAATCCCAACAAACCTGATCCTTAAGCACATCAACAATAACTAAATTAGACGTTTTGATCTTCATATCAGTTGGTCTATTGTGCGTGCCAACCTGCAAAATTATCAAAAAGGGAAACAGCCATTAAAAGATAATTTAGATTCATTAACAAACCTTAACCTATTTGCTCAAACATCTACATCAATGAACTTTCTATTTCTTTACTTCTATATAAATTTTTTTGTTACTTTTTGACAAGGAAAGAGTACTTTTCATTGATAAAATGAAAAAGTACCAAGAGAATTGCATATTGTTATTTCCATTTAAAGAYGTGTAATCATCCAGATTTTTATATCAAGGTGATATTTTGGTATGAAATAAAATATCCCACTATTTTCAAAATTAACTGCCTCCAATCAGCTACAGATAGAAGGCCAAAAAAAAAAAAAGTTTGCATTTGATTGTGAGCAAGGATTTAGATAAAAGAAATCAATGTTAACTCACAATAAAGGGAACTGGTGCATCAAGGAGATCAAACATTCTTCCTGGTAGAACCTGAAAATTATGGAGATGAGCACAACATGGGAAGAAGTAATAATTCAAGCAAGTTATAATTTTCAATTTATCCCAGTTGGGGCGTAAAATCAGTAATAAAATATTTAATCAAGTGTCTGCATTCCTCCTAGAAATTTGCAAGAAAGACAGAGAAGCATCTTTTAAATACTATATATGCCTCTGTTTTTTAGTTTTAGAACTAGTACTATGTAGCTGAACTGTTAATTAGCATGAATAAGAAACGTACATCTTTAATTTGATTCAACCACAATAATTTTTTTCAGAATAGGCTTTCCGGAAATGAATAGTATGTCCAATGGAGAAAAGCAAACATAAACGGCAATCTTCCACTTCAGATTCACCATTCAAACAGTGTGACTTTAACAGTTTCCAGTTACTTTTGGCTCCCAATAAGTTAGAGTAGTGAACTTATATTCATCATATTTCTTAATCAAATTACCTGTCCAACCCTGAATTCAAAGTTCAAATAGCCTTTAATTCAGATTTTCTCATTTGTCATTTCTATACAATAAGGTGGTGAGCCATTTCTATAAACATAAAAACTTCTCGTTATTGTTATTTGTTAATGAGCCAGTCTAAGGGCAATGAAAAATTGAAGACATTATCTATTTCCTAAAAGTTTACTAGAGATATTATTATCTATGAACTCACCGGAAGAAATAAACTTTGCCATTGAAAAGGACGAATCATAGGTATAAGGGATAACACTGTAGCTGAAAGTAGGCCCTGCACTAATTGAAATACTCTATGAAAATCAATTCGAATCGAAAATTAATTTTTAGTTGTCAGAATAGTGAAGAGCTAAAAATAAACAACTAAACACAAGATTATAAATGAAAAAAAAAAGGACTAACTTACAAGGTTTGGACAAACTACTAACACTTGTTTTTCTAGTAAAATCCCCGCAACCAGTTGCATAACCTAAAAAAACAAAGTGATTAAATTTCAAAGTCAATACCAAACATATGGTATCAATTGAACCAAAATCAAGAGAGAATAGTCAAGTTATTGGATAACAATCAGCGACACAAACATAAACATAAAGATAATAAAATAATTTATTATACCAACCTGATCAGATAAGAAGAAGAAAGGAAAAAAAAAACAACCAACCAAAGTTCCCAGTTATCATTTTATGTTTCTTCAACCCAAACAATTTCCACCCTTTCAGTTTTCACCAAGTTAAAACCATAGGCTATTATCACAACCATAGTTGGTTCCCAAGTCTTGGTTGAACCCAACCTCTTGGGTTAATATTTTAATAGCACAGAATACGCATCAATATTTCCAAATGAAGAAGCATATCTCTATTAGGTATGGAATTGCAATGGAAACTCACATGTCATAATATAAAATTGAAGTAACAATATAAACTSACAAAACAACCATATACTCAGAATGTTAATTGCGTTATAGAATTCAGAAAGGGAGTTGCAATAATTCATTCTAATACATTGTAATAGAAATGTACAATTTCTGAACCTGCAAAATCATGCAAAAAGCATTATGCTTACACTTCCGAGAGAGAGAGCTCGGCATATAGTGGCTGTTGTCCACATTGACAGAGCAAGAGCTTCTTCAGCTGTAGCCAACTTTGCTTTAACCTATCAAAGAATTAATCACCCGTTAAAGTGACTTGTAACATACCCTAAGAACAATGAACACAAAAGAGTACCTCAATTGGATTTAATGAATCTAGATATTTTTCACAAAAACAAAACGATGGAATTGCAGGTCTTCTATATTGAATAGTTTGCAAATGTTCAAGAGGTTGAAATAATAATTCACATCCTCGTTCAGGAACAGGAAGAGAATGATATCCGCAAACTATTTGCAGAACATCATACTTGTTCTCCTATCATAAAAACCACAAAGTAAACAATTAGATAAATAATGATATAGATAGAAATTAATCATTACTGTTATATTTAAGAAAGAAAATCAGCAATAAAAGTTAACTAACCCTTGCCCATTCCATTATTAAGTCATCACCAAATTCCTTTTCAGAATTTGGAAAAAGATCATCATCCTCATCTTCTGAAACCATACTTCTAACTGGACTGCCATATGATATGATATCACTGAAACTGGTACTGGGAAAAAGGTGTCTTATAGTAACAACATAGGAGTATATTATATATCAGAATAAATCTACCACCTGAATAGCGATTCAGAACTCCCCGGGCGTTCTAATGCGCGATGCCTTGATGAGAAAGATCTCCCTATAGAGAGACGACCACTCTCACAGCTTCCATTTGTTCTTTCCATCTTGCAAAAAAAAAAAAAAATTCAAAACAGTCAAAATAGCACTAATCACCAGATGATAAACACAAAAGGAACCAGAGGCGCCATCTAATATTGATTGAGATCTTTTAGAAGTGTTCTTATAATAATTTACATTGGTAGTAAAAAAATTTTATTGCAGCCTCAGAATTAAGTAAATTAAATTTTCATCATTCACTTTTGTTTTCCTTACTTGACTCAACTCTGTAGCCTCGCTAGTTGTACTACTTCCAGGAGTTCGAGGCTCCAACGTTTTCACTGAAGGCGTTAGGATCTTATCATCAGATATAATTCCTGCAGCAGCAGCAGTAAGAGCCACTGCACTGTCGATAGGTATTGCAGATGTCATCCAATCACTGAAGGACTCCCTTTTGGGAGAGTCAACATTCTCATTCAGTTGATTTGGTCTTGATTCCGTTGGGACATAATCAGTGAGAGAAATCTCACTAATAAACTGAGTTACCCGGTTCAGACGTTCCTGGGCTATCATACTGCATCCAGTAACAAAAAAGAATTAAATTATTTATACCCAGAAAATATTATTCTCTCATGAGTCTGAGAGTAGCTCACAAAGACACTGAAGTACAAAGGACCTGTTCAACATCTCAAAATGTAACTCAAAAAAGGGTACTCTTGTTAAGAGACAATAGCAGCGAGGTGCGGAAACCAAAAAACGGCTGCATACTCCAGGAGAATGAGCAAGAGAAGTTGAGATGCCTAGAATACCAGGTGGCCTCTGAACGATTTCTAGCACATGTAAGCATACGCCATAAAGAGTCGCATTGTTGGCAACCTGGAGGAAAAGAAAGTTGCTTCAGCAACCACCGGTTCCCTCATATTCTATGAACTAGACATATGGGAGTGAGTAAAAAGATAACTCCCACTTGAAAAGATAAAAGTTTTGTTATGTCTATTGGCTTTAGTTAAGGAGAATGAAGAATAAGCACCAAAATCCCAAGAAAAGAAAATCACTGGGATACAAGTTTCAGATTTTAACAGTATAACCTAATTTCAGCAAATGTTTCACACTTCCACCATTAAGAATAGGTAAAAAAAGAAGCCAGCTGGAATATACTTCAAGATTGGAAATCAGTACAAAGAAGAAGAAGATCTTATCATAACTTGCAAACACATTTAGAACAATATACAACCAAGTAGTAACTAGACTATAAATTTCATTTTTTTTTCCACGAGAAACCGAATTTTCATTGAGAAAAATCAAAACAAGATGAATGTACAAGGACATTAAAAAAATCAGCCCAACAACAGGAGGCCTACCGAAAGAAAGGAGCTCCAATCCAAAATGATAACACCTAACTAATAATTACAAAATAACTTCGAACTAACCCCCACAAGTATTGAACCAGAGATATACTCTCTGGATCTCTTCATCCTTTAAAAATTCTATTATTCCTCTCCATCCAATCACGCACAAAATGGCAAAGAAGCAAGTGTGTCACAAAAATCTTCTCTTATCTCAAAAAGGAGGAAACAAAATCTCTTCTATCAGAGCCCAACAATCCATGTTACAAACCCAAGGCACCCCCCAAAGAGCTCAAAAAAACAACCCTAAATATTCTAGGCGAACTGACAATGAACTAGACTATAAATTAAAAAACAAGTGAATTTTGGATTGCTTATGACTCACGGTCTTGCATTTAAAAAGTCAAGGACATCAAAGTAGATTCCAAAAGAAATACATCCATAGGTTGACTTAGGCACATGTGGCGACAAAAATAATTTAAGATCCAACATAAGCTGAAGAAATGGGCACGAATTTTACCTTAAGAGAAAAAATAAATGCCAGATCATCTCTGTTTAAATGTTCCTGTAACAATAGAGCATACTAGCATCATTTTGTTTTTGGAAACCAAAACGTAAGTTAACTGTCATGGATAAATGAAATATGATACATTTACTAATGAAATAGAGGATAAACCATCCTCAACTGAAAAAATTGGYGAGGAAAAACTCCACCGACATTCTTTTTGTCTCTCCACCTATGTTTAGAAAACTCTAACTTTAAGAGTAGCAACAGCTTGCCGTCATTCATCCTTCTAATTCCAATTATAGTGCTCTTTTGGGTAATAAGAAACCATAGTTTACTACTACTCAGAAATACAAAAGAAGGAAACAGGGATGAGACATCACCCCAACCACAAAAGACTTTATAATCAATAGCCCTATTACAATGAATTTCAAAAGTGGTTTCTTTAACAAATGGGTTGGTTCGGTTGGACAGGTTACAAACTTGACCATGTTGTCAAAAGCACCATGACCATCACGATATATAAAACTAGAGGCAAAAAGAAAAAAAAATGATAGGTTTTTATACA